GAGGTGAATACAATTGCTGATGGCAAAGTATGAAACTCAAGGAAACCCCAATCTAAATAAACTACATATACTAGTATAGAAAATTTCCCCTTATCAAAATGAACCTAAATCTTCAAATCAAAAGCATGTATAGACATTTAGGGAAAGGGAAATGCTAATAACATTCATTAAAATAGAATAGCTCAACTAAATGTTTTTGAAATATCAGTTCTGTTCACATCTCAATTAAACTTGGCTATTTGTTTTGTCACATCCCTTGCCATTCATGTAAGTACAATGGGATGGTTTCAGTTAGTAGAAATACATTACATGACTCATGGATGTGTCATACAACTTATTTCTAATACATGCAAATTGGCCTTTTATTCACAAGTATTTTTCATAATGGTTAATCACTTTAGAAAATATAGAAAATATATTAGTTGATAATTACCCATCTTCAACAAATTGATGATACTTTTACTCAATTGAAATTCCATAAAATAATAATTAACCAATAGTACGTTGCGTGCAATTGATTCTGCATCAATTTTCAACTAGATGTTATGAAATATAACTCAATAACATACATTATATACTTACATGTATTCAATTCGCATACAGTTATGATACATTTGATAGTACTTCTTAAATAAATATTCATTCTTCAACACAAGGGTACAAAAGAACATTAAACTGCTACAAAATTCTTGCATGTTAGCCTTTTCACCTAACCCTAAAAAAAAGCAAAGATATACATTTCTATGTAACAATATGTACAAGAAAGTCACTTTCATAAACATAAAGAAATTTAACAAACACATATTCATATAATTATTATATTTTGTTCTAAATAAGATTTCAGTCATTGTGCCAACATTTATCAAATAAAAATGACAGTATAGAAAACCATATTTACCGGAAATGTTGGTAAAGTTTGCCATCTAAGCGGTTTTTCAATATAGTAGTCTTAATTATGAAGATTTCTGGTTAGACACAGACAAGATAATGTTAGGTTATAAAGAGATGCAATAGTTGAAAAAACGTACATGAAAATAGAATGATTGTTATAAATTCTATGCTATACATACCATTTATCGACACAACAAAAAGCTACTTATCTTGACACAATCTGTAAATTACATGCAGTATGTACATGCACAAAAAAAGCACCAACTAGATAAAGTGTACACTTGTAAACCTTGGCTATTTTGTATGGTGAATATTGCACATTTTTGTCCTAATACATGGTAGTGATAATGGTTATACATTGACCAGTTTATTAACAAGTAGCTACTATGCCATTTAATCCAACAAATTTTAACAACGTCCAGCAGATTTAGGGCAACATATCACTTTATCCATAGCTCAAAATACATAAGGGCAGATGTTGATTTTCCCCTAATATTCCTGAAACAAAGAACTAGGAATGCCCCCCCCCCCCAACTCTCATCAACAAAAGGCCCTTACAATTCAAGGGCCTTTACAATTTCAAAAAAATTATAATTAAACTATAAAAAATGATAATAAGAATGAGAATTCATTTCTTTTTGTTAAAGGGGGTGAAGCAGGACAAGACTACGTGTCTTTCCCGTGGCCTGAATCGGGGCCAATCAGGTATACAATGTAATACTACTACGGACGGCGCGATCGCAGTATTCGCGTGCGTGTAGCTTACGCGAAAAAGTGCGTGCTGACAGTAAATCGAGTCCATTCGTTTACGTGCAGTTGTCCAAAATAAGTCATAGATGGCATTAACCCGTATTTGCCATGCTACACCCCCTATGCAAGAAATACAATGCACCAAGATAAAAGTGATGGAGATTTGAAGACTTTAAAAAATCTGTCACTTATTAGACCCTTTGAACATTTGGATAAATAAGGAAATAAAAAGATTGAAAAAGGATATTAGATAATAATAATAATAATAATAATATCGAATATTTAGGAGCGCTAAAAACAACAAGTACCATAGCGCTTACAAATACAAATATATGTAAAGAGGACAAGAAAGTACAGTACAGGAAGTATATCACATAGATCATTGGGGGAAAAGGTGAGTTTTGAGGGATCTTTTGAAGGTGGCAAGACAGGTAATTTTCCTTATGGAAAGAGGGATGCTGTTCCATGTCTTTGATGCAGCTACTGCAAAGCGTTTTTCAGCTGCTGAGAGTCTAGATGGAAACTATATCTCTCATTAAGGGGGAGAGAGTGGGGCTGAAACCTGAAGAAAACCTGGATAACTAGATGGAACTTCGACTGCGCGCAGTCGAAATGATGCCTCCGTCATAGAGCAATTTACAAACCAAAACAGAAGAAATTTTTCAAATTAAAGTTCAATTGTAATCCATTAACAGGTTCTCAGAATATTGTGATTACAAGCAATTTCTCATATACATATATGACCCTTTGATCTTTGACCTCATGACCCTAACATCTACTCAGTTCATTGGCTCTGCAAGATGTCCCGAGTTAAATAGTAATCCATCTGTCAGTTCTAATGAGAATGCGTTCACAAGCTATTTTTGCATACATAATGAGCCCATGACCTTTGACCTTTGACCTCATGACCAAAGAATCTACTCAGTTCATTGGCTCTGCAAGATGCATACATGATCTAAGTTTGGCAGGAATCCATCAATCTGTTCTAATGATAATGCGATCACAAGCTATTTTTGCATACATAATGAGCCGCATGACCTTTGACCTTGACCTCATGACCCCAAAATCTAATCAGTTCATCGGCTTCGCAAGTAACATACATGACCTAAGTTTGGCAGGAATCCTTCAATCGGTTCTTGAGATAACGCGATCACGAGCAGTTTTTGCATACATAATGAGCCCTGTGACCTTTGACCTTTGACCTCGTGACCCCAAAATCTATTCAGTTCATCGGCTCTGCAAGATACATACATGACCAAAGTTTGGCAGGAATCCATCAATCGGTTCTTCAGATAACGCGATCATGAGAACGGGACGTACGGACGGACGGACGGACAACTAGAAAACATAATGCCTCCGGCTACTTCGTAACGGAGGCATAAAAAGTATACATACCAGTAATAAGAAATCTGCATGTGAATACACAAAACACTACCCCTGACAAATATGGCAGGACAGGCTCAGTCTCATTGTATTCTTTTTTGCAATCCTCTGTTTAACATTTAACTTTAAAATGTCATAGAATTCATACAACATGGCACCAGAAGAGTGTTTCACAAAGACCAAGACTGACTTTAAGTTGGACTTAAATATTGCAGGCTTTTCATGCCACTGGTTGCTTTCACCATTGGTCTCTTTGAATTATGATCTTTAGATGACATTTTTTCCTTCAATAATGAACTATCAAAAAATGTAAATTCTGTAGATTTGTTACGATTTGTACATTGATCCCTTGAGAAACCAATGCAAGGACCTTTTAGAGGAACTAGTGGTATGAACGGCCTGCCACAGTTAAAGAGTCATGTTCCCCGTATTCCAGAGGGCGTTCAAAATACGTACTCGCTGGCGGATGGTGCTAGCTGCCTATTGACACCAACAGAATACGGCTCTTACGCAGATGGCATGTTCCGAATGCCCGGACAACGCCGATTATCGCATACATGTGCCGAAGTAATGCCAATCGCAGTTCGGCTCTAAGATTCGGCTGCTGTTTCCGCCCACTTTCGTGACGTCGCGATCGTCAGCGATCAGCTGGCTTGGCGAAGGCAGGCCAGGCCGCGCGTACTTTGATTGACAGCTGTATGCAAATTAGAAGTCGATCTTCGGAACCAAGATGGCGATGACTAGAGCAGCGATAACTACACTGGCGGGAATGTGCCACTTTAAGTTAGTTAAGTCAAACTTAAAGTCGATCTAAGACTTTATGAAACACCTCCCAGAAAATATAAGGTATACATATAAGTTAAAATAATATTACATCCATTTAAAAAAAAATATCAGACCGCTTGTATTTCTTGTTGAAATTCAAAACATGTTCAAATTGTTCATGTACATTGTAATTGTCAATTTCAATACCCTACGATATTGGTGTTATTAAAAACTGGTCCGATGAAAATCAAACCTTTGATACATTTTTTTGTTTACATTAATGCAAAGATGCCAACCTCTCGACACAAAATAACAGACTGAATATCCTTAAAAATTAGCTTTTTGAGAGGAAATTCGATTTTTGAGAGGAAATTAGATTTTGAGAGAAAATCAGATTTTCACGAAAACTCAACACCAACTCGTTTGCCCCTGGCCAGTAAAATGTCAGAAAAACGTTATACTGGTAAGAACGGGCAAGTGAAATGTTTGCTCTTTCATTAATATTTTATGAGAAAATTGTAAAGCATCAGTAATAATTGTTATGATGCAAAAAGGGTGTTTAAATGCATAATGAAAATAATAGTACAACTACATTGCTTGAATATTTTGGGCCAATGAGAATTTGGTTCAAGACAGAAGTAGAAGTGAGAAAAAAATTACTGTATAGACTTGCATTGTACTCATGGAAATATGAGCCACATACCTGTTAACTGACATCATAAAACCAATTACCGGTAAAGAAAAACAAGTGTCAGATATTTAAAAAATCAACCCAAAAAAATTGAAGAGGCGATATTGTATTTCACTTTTTTTATCATACTAAATAGGATAAAATCGTTCTGGTTGGCATCTCTGTTAATGGCATCAAGAGGAATACAGGAAAGGAATGCCTTCTAAAGGCTTGTTCAGATATGGCGCAGTAAACTGCCGCAAACACTATTTCACTGAGCTCTGTGTTTTAAAGGTAATGCAAAGTTTTGGGAAATCTTGAACATTAGATGGATTAATTCTTTAAATATTTGATATATTTGGATACCCCTGTAGATGTACTATTAGCACTAGAAAATGTAGCCCCTAAATATTTCTAAAAGCACGTAAGGCCATTCCATGATACATGTAGCTGCGACCATGGAAATCTCAGAATATGTTATTCTGATATATAATTTCCAAACGAGAATAGCAAATTAGTCGACTGTAGTAAAGAAACATTGTTTTAAAGCTAAAGTAATATCAGTCTTGAGAGGGAACTATACAACATAGAGAGTTCATTATTTACAATTCCATCACTTTAGACTCGATTTCAACCACAACAACGATCATTAAATATTGTGAAATCACAAATGCTTTCAATATGTTCATTTGAACCAAATTCATGACCCCATACCAAAACTTTGTATTACCTTTAAGAGTCAGTACTGTGAAGCAAATTACACTTTATCATAAAAAAGCAGAAGTTTTTTTTTGCGTCATATCTGAACAAGCCTTTAGAGATCTAATTCGTTCCGTACAACGTTCTTAAAATACTTGGTTTTTACTCCAATCCACATCTTTCATGGACGTAATGCTTGTAAATCTGGTTTTGATGGATGGCAGTCGTCATACAAACAGTCCAAAGTTTCAGGAAAGAGGGTCATAATAAGGACTGCTCAAACATTATCTTGTCAAATCCACTGGGTGGTGTGTGGTAGAATTCACTGAACTGGACGTCTAAGATGGCACCTTCATCCACTGCAAGATATAAAGCAAACATGAATGCACGATGTTAGCTCGGGGCAGGAGGACAATTTAAGAAGCTATTGATAAACCCATCACTTTTCTGAATAATGAAAACAATGCCCTCTTGTCAGTTTTCTCTTTACTCTGTGCCTATTTCACTTCGTATGAATATCATTTTGTGTAAATCCTGTTACAAACTTCTATTTCTAATTCTAATCACCAGTTATACTCTAACTATTTTAAAGTTTACTGTCGAATGATGATTGAATAGGAAGAGTTTCTCACATAGGGTGCATTAATCAACTCTTTTCTAGCCTATAATCAGCATTTTCAGATGTGATTCAAGCAAATTTGCATGTTGAAAAATGCAAGTGCGTTTTGATACCCACTATGAGCCAGAATCACGTTTCTGAGAGATGATAAACGCAAAGCTGTTTTTAAAAAACACATTTATATTTCAGACCTTCCCGAGCTAATTTCTGTTAAGGAGAAATACATGTAGCACGCGCCATGCGCTGTGTCATGTTGTACCAGCATGCCTACGCACTTGTTCTTTATGTATGTTTACGTATTATGAGATTACGTGCTTCAACTTACCCTACTTTCACACATGGGTAAAAGTCTTTAAAGCTGAGTAGTTTAAAAAGCTTTAAACTAATCAGCTTTACATACAACATCATTCACACACAGAAAATTTTGATGCGATTGTTTTGGAATTCACTGCTCTTAAATGCGCAGTAGGGCCATTGCGTATTGTGCGCTTACTATCAGGCAGATTGGCGCGTGTTAATTGGCGCCTGGTCTTAGCTCCACCCACTTAAGGACGTATATCCGTTCACACACAAAATGTCTATAAAATGTCTAGTATAGATCGCGAGAGCCTATCTGACCAAACATCGTATAAACGCATTCACACAGGGAAAATTTACTTTAAAGATGTTTTGTTAAAGAGCTTCAAAATAAACCGCTTTAGATTATCGCCATTTATTATCGTATTTGATGCCATTATCATACAATTGTGTCTGCAAGTTCAAAGGCAAAAGGTTTGTAAGGGGGTCCCGATAAACTCAGGTGATTGCTGCTCCAAACGACACAAAGCAGCTACACAGAGACGAGGCCTTCATTTCGAATCGTGACGAGTTGATAAACGCGACATCCCGCCAATCAAGTTCATAAACTGTGTGAACACTGTTTCTGAGTTGCAAAAATTGATAGACGCACCAATGGTGTAATAGATTTGCCAATATGCTATTTGAGAAAATATCCTTCTGATTTCCTGGGTTTAAGGCTTCAAACTTTCCATATTTGGTTGAAGCTTTATTGGTTAATCACCTTACCACTGCATGATTATCAACCCCTGCCCCCCCCCCCCCCAAATGCTTAATATACAGTATGCATTTGTCCTTGGGGTGGTTTTCCTAGGGGTGGTTGTCCTAGGGGTGGTTGTCCTACAGGTGGTTGTCCTAGGGGTGGTAGTCCTTGGGGTGGTAGTCTGGTGATAATATTCAAATGAATATCCCTTCAAGTTAAATTTAAATTGAGACAGTTGGATTCATCTAAGATCCTTCAAAATATAATTCACCAAACCTGTTTTATTTCACAATCAAATATTTTCAACGGTCTAAAAGATCGCAGATCAAAAACCCATTTATGATTGAACTCACCATAGACTGCAGGGTATAACGTCCCTTTGATACCACTGACCGGTATTTGAAGACTCTCTCCATTCTTGTAGAAGTTTAGTTCCATGTGGTCATACGTCACTCCCTTAGGAAGGGAACAACAAGAAAAATAGAAAATGATAGAAAATGATCAACACTGGTTTAAAGGAATTTAACTTATAAAGCGGCAGTTGGTCCATGATGAATGTGGATATCTTCCCAACTCATTAAATTGGGCTTGAATATTGCTTTAAACAAAATGATCACCACAAGTTTGAAAGAATCTCATTTATAAAGCGGCAGCTGGTCCAAGATGAATGTGCATATCTTCCCAAGTCCCAACCCATTAAATTGGGCACGAGTATATTTTTTAACAAGAGCAGGTCACCCACTGGTACATACTACCGGTATACGGCATACAAAAGGAAGCTCCAAGACTCTGTCAAAGTACAAATTCATGGATGTCACATTGAAACGGTGCCCTGGTTCTCCAGAAAGTCATCATGATCTAAAAGGGATCCATTTTGGGATGTGGCTAATGCAAATAAAAAACTTTTGGTAACTTATATTTGGATGTAAGATTACAAATATTATTAAAAAGGAATTCCCTTTATAATCGATTCATATTTGATATACCAGTGCTTAAACTACGCAAACAAGTAAACGGGGCATAGACAATACAGAAATAGAAAAATTCTGTTAATCACACAACTCATAAAGGACAACAAATTTGCTTGAAATTTTCCTTTTATCTATTTCCATCTGACAAACAGACCAGTGTCTTGAAAAATGGAATGAATACTGTAAGTGTAAACATTGCAAATGAGAAGATTGTCTGCCTGGAAAAATTTTTGAAATGAAAAGAGAGAGTGAACTTACAATGAGATCGCCTTCTGCAACGTCTAAGGTTGGTTTGTGCAGAGGTTCCCCTGCATGGCATACTGTACCATCTGATCTCATCACCCAGGACTCAGCACACTCACCTAGAGGTACTCGACTTAGATTACTCTTCCTAGTGGCTAGGCCAACGCCCCAAACACCTGATGAGAAGATTAAAAACAATATTCTTAAAGAAGTCTATATCCTTGACGTAATCAAGATGGAAATACATGAATTCATTAAGAAACAATAAGACCTTGAATTACGGTACATGCTGTGTGTGTCAGATATTACCAGTCATCACTGAGACCTAAATCCAGAACACAGTTTATCTTTACAATGGTGGGCATTTAAATGAAAACTCAAGATGTATGAAGACATGATAGAAATAATGAAAGGAAAACAACTTGGGAAAATTAAGCTGGAAAGTACAAAAAGAAAAAATACAAGAAAACAAATAAGAGTAAGCCCATTCACAAGTACAATTATTTGAAGAGAAATCAATAAAAAAAGAAGAAGAAAGGTGATTATCTAAATAAATCAGGGGGGAGAGGAAGAGTAAAAATGAAAATGTGAGAAAAACAGAAAAATTCAGAATACAATATGAGATGAGATGAGATGAAGGAAAATGAAAGAAAGGTAGGAGGTGGGAAGGAAAGGAAGAACAGGAGAAGAAAACAACCCAGGAGGATGAAAAAGGACAAGGTGAGAGCTCAAGTAAAGAAAGAAGGATGAAAAAGAAAAGGTAAAAAGGAGAAAGAGAAGGAAAATATGAAATTGAGATTGAGGAGGAAAAGGTGGAGGGGAGGAACGGGGAGGAAATGGGAGGAGCAGAGAGAGAGAGAGAGAGAGAGAGAGAGAAAGAGAGAGAGAGGGGAGGGAAAAGGATGGGGAAGCATAGGAGGAGGAAGAAGAAAAGGAGAAGCCTAATTTTTTCACTTACCTGTTGACTGAAGCTTGATTTCAAAGTAGGCCTTGTCTTGGACTAATGGTGCATTCCCCAACCCTCCGCCTGTCCCACAGATTCGTCTTCCAGATTTCACAATGACTACATCATTACCTGCACAAAAGTTACAATATTTATATCATAAAGTCTTCCTGATGTCAACATAACACTCATACAGCGCATTATACGGAAGCAGCACAATCACGGAAGTGCCAGTCAGAGGTCAACACCATTGTGTAGAGATCGTAAAGTCACACACTACACGTGAAAAGCATGAAAAGGGAGCTAAGCTGTATTGGTCTGGTAAGAAATTTGCTATTATTTCGTTATTTTTACCTCCGATCACGATATTCCTGAGGTAATTACAATTACAAGTCACAAAAAATTCATCAAGGCCATCATTGGTCGGGTGCGGGAAAGTGTGATTTGGGACACATTTTAGGATTTGTTTACATGCCTCTCCGTGCAGTGGAATGGTTTGTCATGCCATTACATTTATATACACTAAACTCATTATAATTTGAGAAAAAATAGCTTTGCAATTATGTTCATTCTCTATGGGATGTCGTCTGCTTAGGCAGTGTTGGTCCATAGTGACGTCATTAAAACATCGTTATTTTTACCGGCGAATCTCTCGTATATCCCAGCTGCTATGGAGGTGGTTGTATTTGTATTTGTATAAATCACCCGATACGTAGTTGACCTAAAACTTGTCCGATTGCCATCTGTTAGCTTACCAGTTTCTAGTGATACATTAGTTGACATATTTGTGATCTTCTTTGAATTTCACCTTTAAAAACTGCACATTCGAAGGTAGATAGAGTATGATGTTTATGTCAATCTTGCGTTGGTTTGAGGCCGAAAGCTTCAACCATCTCAAAATGAGAAGAAAAACTGTGAACAGTGATGTCATCGTTCGAGCCAAATATGGAGGTATTGCAACATCATAATATGAATATGTATGAGCTACGGTCAGAACGCCTGCCAAACAAATTTGGCCTCACACACATGTTTAAAAAAGATGGAAGCAAAGCAATGTTGCTCCAGTTTTCAAGAAAGGCTGCAAGAAAGATCCTAGCAACTACAGACCAATAAGTCTCACCTCTGTCTGTTGCAAACTCATGGAATCTCTGATCAGAGATGAAGTATCTGACCATATGCTGACCAATGACCTATTCAGTGACCATCAGCATGGATTCGTCCCTGGGAGGTCCTGTATGACTCAACTGCTGTGTGCTATGGAAGCATGGACGGACTTGATCGACAAGGGGGAGTCCATTGACGTAGTCTACCTTGATTTTAGTAAGGCTTTTGACTCCGTTCCACACCAGCGTCTAATACACAAGCTCGAGGCCTATGGAATCTCTGGTCCTATCAGAACGTGGATCCAAGACTTCCTCACTGAACGGAAGCAGAGAGTGGTTGTGAACCACAACATGTCAGATTGGACCCCAGTCACCAGTGGAGTACCGCAAGGGAGCGTGCTCGGACCTCTTCTATTTGTCATCTACATAAATGACCTTCCTGATGAGATTGAGGCAGCAGTCAAAATCTTTGCAGATGACACCAAACTGTATGGCAAAGCTACGTCTGAGGAAGACTACACCACCCTGCAGAGAGTCGTACAGAAACTTGAGGGATGGTCAGAGAAATGGCAGCTCCACTTCAATGCAAAGAAATGCAAGACCCTGCACCTAGGGGCAGGCAATCCATGGAGGGAATATGAGCTAGACAGTGTAAAGATCCCAGAAACCAAAGAAAAAAAGGACCTTGGAGTTGTCATTGACGAGAAGCTCAGATTTCATCAACAATCTGCAATTGCTGCTAGAAAAGCAAATGGAGTACTAGCTCGCATACGTAGATCTTTCACTTGCAAGGACAGATCAACAATTCCACTCCTCTATAAAGGTCTTGTTCGTCCCATATTGGAATATGGCAATGTAATCTGGCACCCTCGCTATGTGAAGGACGAAAAAATCATAGAGAAGGTACAAAAAAGAGCAACAAAAATGGTACCAGAGATAAAACTCCAAAGCTACCATGAGAGACGTGAGAGTTTGAAGCTTCCCTCACTTAGCCACCGCCGCCGCTGAGGAGACATGATTCAGGTGTTCAAGTTGATGCAGAACATTGACAGGTTGGACTCTACCCAATTCTTCACACCTGCAATCAATTCAACAACGAGAGGGCATGCTTTCAAACTGACCAAACCCAGGTGCAACACCAAACTCAGGCAAGACTCATTTAGCCACAGGGTCCTCAACGACTGGAACTCCCTCCCTGAGTTGGTAGTATCTGCAACCTCGGTAAACAGCTTTAAAGCCAGACTTGACAAACACTGGAAGAAGGAGCAATATCATTCACTCTTCTCCCAGTTGACACTCCAGTTATGACAATCCTGATATGACCCAGCAAGCAAGATACTGATGTAAAATGACTATGGTGCAAGACCCGGAAGCTGGGACATCCCCCCCCCCCCTTGAAGTTAGACCTGGAAGCTTGGCAGCTGGAGACGGCTTTCTTCCAGAAGCTTTGGTATTCAAGGTATATTCAAGGTATATTCAAGTAAAAAATGTCTATGTGAGCAGTCTATACTCCAATTGAGAAGTTAGGACGGAAAGATATGATTGGATGATGTGATTGTGAGTGCATGATATATAGTTAGTTGTTGCGTACAGCTAGAGAGAGAGAGAGAGAGAGAGAGAGAGAGAGAGATCCAGGTATGATGTACGTAGTACGAATGTGCGATATGCATGCATGTATATCATGTGTAGAGCTGTGACTGAGTGCCTAAGCTATCCAGCTTAGGTACTCAGTCACAGCTCTACATGGAGGTCGTTCTTGTTGATTGTACAGTAGATCTCCGACTAAAATCATAAGGAATACTCATGAGGAAATGAAGTTATTGGAATACCAATCTAAGGTAAATATTAATGAATTAGATCTAGTTCTTTCCTTCTTTTTTTACTCGTAGTAGATCTAGTAAGTAGTAGTCGTTGTACGTACCTTGATGGTTTGATCATGTCGATTTCAACTTCAGCCTGTATTGCGGCTTGCCTGGTTAATTAAGGTTCGGTGTGTGCGACCGATTCAAGGCTAGCCGGATGATGAATGTACTTTCGCGCGAAGTTTTGAACTTGTATGACACACCTATTCCCTCGGGCCTGTCTAATTCTCGACGTAATTTCGGGAACATGAAATTGATCGTTTCAAGGCTCTTACGTACGGCCAGGCGTAGAAGGAAAGGCCTAGAGTAAAGGAGCCCGTTTTCGGCCACTTAAGACAAAATCCTATTTTTAGGACTCTTTACTTCCTATTTATTATCATTTCTTGTTCAAATCATGAAGCAAATATTATTATTATTTAAACAAAAAAAGAATCCCAGAAAAAAATCACGAATTGCCATGACAATATTCATTTCAATTTTCACTGTTTTGGAGCCCGTTATCGGCCGAGCGTTTCAGTTTACGGCCGCATGTACAAAGTCAATAGGAAGCGCTCGCGCGCGCCGTGCGTTTCCGCGCTGATGTACAGCACAAGCGGGCGGAGCAGGTATCCCACGCCGGAGCTCCCTGGTGCTCGCCTGGCCGAAGACAGGCACAGCGGTGATCGGAAGTTGGAATCTGAATTAGACAGAGATATCGTGTGTGCGTCGCGGTGTGCGGCTGCATTGATTTAATACATGCGATGACATACTTTTGAGCTTGCGACTAGCACAAAATCGGGCTTTAAATCTGAAAAATACTTGAAATAAAGCTCATTTTATGGTACCCATATTTCTTACAGACACGCGTAAGATACTCGATTTTTCAGATTTGGGTAGCGGGACCGGCGATTACATCGCTAAAATGTGATATTTTAGGATATATTTTCCATTGCAAATGTGGTTCTTCAGTGACACTGGCATGGTATGGTATGTGTGGGATATGTGTTATGCTATTATGCGATGTATTTTAGAGTGATTTTACCTTGCATCCAACCAATCGGCCGAAAACTGGAGCTGGCCGATTACGGGCTCCTTTACTCTACTTATGAGCTGGATATCTCCTATTTTATGGAAATTCTGGAGTCGGCAAATGGGTGAGTTGTCTTAGTGAAAGAAAATGCCTTCTTTTAATCTTTGTTTTATTATAAACAAATTAGTAGGCTTAATTAAAAAGTTAGATTTGGGCATTAGCCTCCCTACCTACCTTAGTTAAGTTAACTCTGAAGGCTAGTGACGTGTGGTGTGTGGATTTGTGTAAAATACCTGCCTCTCGGCAAGTATGCACTGCTAGAGGTCAATACGCATTAGCATTGAATCTCTATGCTTTGCTGGAGTGGTTAGTAGTAGACCCTAGAAGTAGAACGTAGAATTAGAGCTAGACCTAGATTCTATATGTACATAAAAGTCCCAAACTTCCCACAAATCTGAACACATGGGACTGGGACTGAAGACTGTCTACCAAGTACAATGGCTACAGTCTACATTGTCATTTTTTTAAGAGTAAAAAAATGGCCTCACATGCATATTCTTACCCATGTGTGAAGTATCAAGAACAACTGACGGTATTTCTTTCAGTGGGACATGTCCACTTCCAAACCCAGCTCGCCATGGAAAACATCGAAAACAGCAAAAACATGCAGCCATCTCGTCTGTTTTTTCTTCAGAAAAGTAATTATAGTAAACTCGACTATTGTGCAGGTTGTCACCAGAGGGCGACATGCTAAGATATAGAGATCCCCCAGCGCTCAAGTTACAGTACGCAAGCATGACGAAAAAATACATGTCTGTCGATTTTTATCCACCCATCTATCTATTGAATTACCAGGCCTATCGGCTACCACTGCCACCACGCTATTCATCTGTCTGTTTGTTGTTATGCCTATATGTTATCTAGTTTCATCTTTAATTTGTTGAATTTCTTTCTTTATAAATTAATTAATTTCTCTATTTATTTCTCTCTTTTCAGTCTTTCTTTCTTTTGGTTCTCTTTTCATTCTTTCTTGCTTTTTCCCCTTAATTTCCAATTTAATTAGGCCTACTCTTTCCTTGAATAAATATCAAATAATTACTGGATAGAGAAAATTAAATTTTGTTGTCGAAAGCACTCTAAAATAAATCGACAGTCACTTCCTGTACAAAGTGATCACTGACGTGACTCCCTGCTGGGGACTGGGAAAAAAAGGTGACAATTCACTCTTTTCCGGACAACTGCTAGAGCGATGCCGTTCCGGGAACTAGTAAGGGGAGGGGGGGGGGGGGGGGGGTTGTCTATGGGGTCATTTTCCCCAGAGAGGTTGGCCTACATGAGGGTAACTGTGGCAGAGGTGGATTGATGTTAGTCCATGATATGCAAGCAGATATAATCATCATGTAATCTGGATAAACATGAATTGTGTAATATTATATAATAAAAAAAACTAATGGTTGAATACATTATTGACACCTGTAAAACTAATCGTCTTTAAAAAAAAATTGAAATAGTAACATGGAAAACATTGGAAATTCGAAATTAACAATCAACTATTCCTATCGCAATAAACTTTTTTTGGTTTCGAGGCCAACTTTGTTGAAATAGTGAGTCATATGGCTGTGATAATAATAATAATTTTTCAAAGTGAAGTATAAAATAATTAATATTTTTTTTTTGTGGGCAATGGAAAGGAGATATTCTGTTTGCCGAATCACAAGATTGAAAAAGTTGAGGTTGTGTGCGTCATAAGTGTGTTTGGTTTTCAGCTTTATTGTTTGTTTGTTTTGAATAATTGCCTAATTTAACGGCATAACATAACAAGTATTTGTTTCAATATGATCGAAAAGGGGATAATGAAACAAGAGTATGTTTATATTATGTACATTTCCTTGTACACCGATCCATACACGGCATGGTGGGGGGGGGGGGGGGGGGGCAGAGGGTGACGTTTACACCAAGCGCACGCAGACTTACTGTATGATGGGGGAAACAAAGTGCAATATCCCAACTCCAAAATCATCACCGTGAATCTTGTTTTCTACCGGGTCATGCATATTTGGCGAAACTTAAGTTTGTTATATTGTAATGTGCATGGTAGCCTACTCCAGAGAAATATTAAGGATTAGATAGAAAAACTAGTTTCTTAAATTGGCCTACAGAAAAAAAATAAGAAAACAAAATAGGGGTGAATTAATTACATAAATCATATCTTTTTGAAATAATAACACTCATAACATGAAGGATATCATAATATTCAATACAAGTGTTAACTGAATACTTCTATTCTGTTTAGGCCCGAACATATCCTACTGGCCCTCAGTAGGCTATATCCTCGTGAAATGAATATGAGAGTACTCATTTCTTTAAGGATACAAACATCGTATTAGCAACTGTGGTAAATTATTATTCATCATGGGAATAATTAAATACTAAAATATTGTGGTTTCAAAAAGTATGCGAAATATCTCTCTCTCATTTGTTCTACTTTCGTTTCGATTCAACCCACATGTCAGCGTTGATGTTATTCGGACGTAGAAACGTTGTGTAAACATTATAATTCAACTGACTATACCACCATCTCTGCAAGCGTGACTCAATATGAGCAGTTTCTCATCAAGCTAATGTGTAAAATGAACACCTGATCACATAGCTCAGTAGGAAATCAAACGCGATATATTTGTATATAATTATCACTCTATTCAGTCAAAAAGTATTATTTCAATACCTCTTTTTTAAAGGATCGTTGTGTACTTAATATCATTCGATATCAGAAGTTCGTTTTGAGATGAAAGCGTGGGTTTCTGGTACTATTAGCTGTCACGAGTGAAGCGTGTTTGTTTGCCAAATTAGGCTTTGAAGCAGAACGTTGTTTTGTATGTAAACTACCAAAAAAAGAGGAAATCCGCAAAAAAAAAAAAATCAGATTGGGTGAAGATGAACTTTCAAAATGAAAAACATTGCTATTGAGTGTGTTCCCCAGTGAGCGTCGTTTTACCACCATCTCTGTTAAACTTGCTGGTATACTGTGTCACGGACATGACAGAAGAGATCATTGCACATAATCACCTAGGACTTAATATCATTGAGATTTGTCTACGACAGACCCGTGTTGTTAGCAGTAAGTGGAAGTAAGTATAGGCCTTTATTCTATATTCATTATAGTAAGATATACTTTTTTTATGAGATAATATAGTTCAATGGTATAAACGTAGGTATTGATTGAGATGTGTGGGGGACATACAGAATCGAATTTACTCAACGTCTAATTCTGATGTAATATTATGAGTGAGAGGATTTATTTCTAGATGGAGATATTATCATCAATTTTTGCGATGTTTGATGTTTCAACTTTGTACTTCATACGTCGCCTTTTGCTGAATATATTTCATACACCTTAAGATTTGTCATGTGACGATTGCATTCACACACTTAAGCCGAGTTTCTTGAACAGCAAGTGGTCATGCTTTTCACCTTTGTAACTGAGCAGGATTAAACGCTGGGATATCATGTTCATGAGCATCTGTGCAAGTGTGCTAATGAACGTTATTCATATGAATGATTTGCCAACGATGTGTATTTTAAGGTATAATTTTTGATTAATTTATACTATATGATTAAATATATATTTTGAATTTTGTTAATAATACCTATGTACCTAGTTTGTATATTACTTTTAATTTTGTAATATAATCTTAACAATCAAGTATGAGAGTCATTTGTTCGAGGAGAGCTAATTTTTTCAATGACCCCCGAACTAATTGGAACAAAATGTTTTCTGGAAGACCTTTCATTACATTTTAACAATTGGTTGTACATCATCATTATTGGTTTTTAGTTGTAAGCTTTTACTACAGAATCTCAGCTCTACCGTATACACACAACCTTACAATATGCTAGTGATATCCGTGTATATTTTAGATAGGCCTAGTTCGAGTGACTTTCCTCATGTTTTGCATGTTTGACTGTTTCATTGTCTGCCGGAAGCTTGCATGATTGTGTTATTGAATGCCTATCCTCGGGTTCATGTCGACAACTCGACATTAATACTCTTTGATAAGTAAACATCGACAATTTCCTCTGATTGTATAGACCGGCTTATTCTTCTCACATCATTACTGGGTTCGGGATATTTTGTGATATGAAAGACAAGATGAAAATGAAAGTAGACGGTGTAGTTAAAGGTATATGACAGTAGGTTTATTAGAAGGAGAAAAAAAGTAATAGCCAGCAGTCATATGAGTTTGAACGTATGTACGTTTTGCTTTGGGAGCATGCATATGTAATTGCTATTATTCCAAAATCGTGCCAACATTACTCGAAGCAAGATAATTGCAAATTAGTTAAGATAATGGCCTAGTGACCTTTAAAATGTTGCATTAATCTGTAAAAACTGAACAAAATCTATGCCAAGAAATTCTCTTGCAACAAAGTAATGTTATTCTGTTACTCTATTATTGAATCACCGTTTGACTTCAAAAAACTTGATACAAATTGATAAGACAATTAACTATCAGATATTGTTGGTTACCTGCCTCTCACTGCACTGTCTTATACATTTCATGTTGTAAATGTAGTAGGCCTACATGAATTTATTCTTGACGAATTAAATCAAATCAGGAAGCATACATCTTCTATGTATTTATAACGCCAGTATAGCTTATTTCTGCAGCTGCTCTGCTAGTATGCCTTTACACACATTATCTGTCTGAATCTGGATCCGATTCAATAGTTCGAAATAAAAGGCACACGACTGTTGAGATGTACTGTGCCCTTTTAATATACCTGCTTCGCAAAATTGAAAAATGTAGATCCCAACAATATTTACCAACCTTTGGACCTATTCATTTGAAAACTCGCTGCACCTCATAGGTGTACCATAATAAGTTAGAAGCCAATGTTGAATCCAGTTTTCTTTATGTTCACGTGCAAGCGTATAGTACCGATGCTTGTTCCGCTTTCATGATAATACTTACGAATGCATACCATGTAAGGTCATTGACAATAGTTCGTTAAACCTGCTTATTCCCAACTATATACCACGGAGTAAATAGACCAATCTGTCCCCGATAGAAAGGCTGAATTCAGAGTTCCAAATTTTCACGTGGTCATACCGATAGGTTGTAACTTGCTCCTCTTTTATGCCGATACCTAGAAATGAATTAGGGGCCTATAATGTAAGTTAAGTTTGTGATGCTAAGATTATGAAGAAGTAAATCAAAATATTCGTCCCCGTCCGCCGTAGGCCCTATATGCAAAATCAAACGACCAACATTATACTCATTTTTAACATGTGTCTTTTTCTAAACATGGGAGTCATTGTCGTTGTTATCATTTACCTATTTGCTAGTATTGTTGTAGTGAGCTTTGTCCTTTTTTAATAAAGTTATTGTGCTCTTTCTCTTATTCCCCATCTGTCATCCACTAACGGTGTATGTGCGTTCTCTCTCTCTCTCTCTCTCTCTCCATTTACCTCTATGTTTCTTTATCCGAAAATTTATCAAGAAGCAAAACAAAATACATGTAAAGCGAACAAATGGAATCCTGGTTTCCAATTATGTTGACAAGAATGATTTGTATGAGAATGGAGGGAGGAGTGGCTATACCAAATCCATTGTGAATAAGAAAATGATTTATTTTTCGTTTAGTAATGATACCTTTTCTGTTTCATTACAGGTGAAACATACACGGAATGGCTCATTTTGGTGATCACCAATGTGAAGGGAATGAGTGCGATTCAAAGACCGATGTTTCATTCTGTGTTAAGGAAAACCAGATGCTCTGCGAGACATGTGCTAAGGAGAAGCGACATTCCATCATCAGCAAAGACGATGGAGGCGAAAGCAAATGGTTGTGCAAGGAACACGACGGACGAATCAAATACTTCTGCCATACCCATCAAGAAATTGCATGTCAGTCATGTGCCACCATCAAGCATCAGGTACCTTGTGAGCTGAGTGATGTAAACAGCCTGGTGAGAGAGGAACGAGAACGATTCTCAGGATTTCTGCCAAAGTTGGAACTCTCGAAAGAGAAGGTTGATCAATATCGAAAGACGGTTGATTCGCATTCGGCATACGCTGCCTCTCTCCTCAGAGGAATCCAAAAGTATGTCCTGGAATCATTTGCAGAAGAGACACAAAAGGTGGAAGAGGAAAAATGGAAAATGGACGAAACTGCCAAAGAAGAGGTCGAGGAAAAGATTAAAGAGTTGCAGGACCAGCTTCAAGATCAGCTGCAACAAAATGAAAAGAAGGCCACCGCAAAGTATCTGTCAATCAAAGTTGAAGCAGACGCGCTCCTGTCGAAGTTAAAACAGTCGATCGAAGAGGTGTCTGTCATTCCGAAGAGGATGAGAGAAATAGCAAGGTGCAGATCCCAAGGCATTTCAGAGTTCAGAGAGAGGATTGAGATGATGCTTCAGAGTAATCCGCTACTGCTGGCGCAACGTCACCTAGCGACGGTGATTGAAGATCATGTGGTGGTGAACCTTGATTGCAGCGTCCTGGAAGAGCTGGATCAGATTGTTGAGAGGATCTCGTTTACAAGAGAAGGTGGGGGCAGGGTCGGTGAGCTAATAGGAACAGAAGGATCTTGGAAACTTTCTGGAACCATCGAACTTGGTACCGACATAAGACTCCCTCTGCTGGTAGGATCGGCGAATGATAAGGAGGTAGTGGTATCTGACATCATGAATAGGACATTGCACGTAATAAACCTCAAGACCAAGCATGTAACACCGGTGATGCAATCGAGTAATCTTGGGTGCGTATCCGACTGCACAACGCTTGATGATAGTACTTTGGTATGTGGAAACTTCTCCAATGGCTCCGTCTGCTTCTTCAACAAATTCTGGAGGCACCGGCGTGAAGTCCGCCTCCAGGATCATCCAACAACATCGGGGGAGCCTGTATACCTTGATATCGACCCGGATGGTCGTATCCTCGCAATTCTGTACGGGCAGCCGCTCATCTTCGTCGTCAATGAATCAGAGGGAATTGTGAGGACTATTACCTTGGCTCACTGCAAGACCATTCTTGACATCCATTCCTTAGCTTCAGGAGACATCCTCGTGCAGTCGGGTATCAATAGATTTACCATCTTCGACGTGAAGTTTGAAGAGAAGAAAGTGTTACAGCGCGCTCACTGGGAGACAGCTAGCTGTACCGTGGACAAGAAAACGAACCTTCTCTACTTCACCTTCAAGGAATTTGGTAAGGAGTCCTACGCCATAGACATCTTATCTCCTGAAGGTGAGGTGTTCTCCGAGAGATGTGTCGAGTTTCCTGCATCTCATGTCACAGACACCACTCCTCGATGCCAATGCTTGAGTAATGGCAAGCTAGTACTCTGCAACGGAGGCCAGCTCTTCTTGTTCAAGAAGATCCTAGGTGTTAAAGACATCCGGGTCCTGGACAGACTGTCAGCTGGTTCTCCTGTCCCTGTGAGATTCATCACGCTAGATGATACAGAGAGCATCACAACCGATATGTTCGTATGACCTGTTTGATGACCGTTCTTATCATGTATTCAATAGGACTGTGTTTTCAAAATAAGTTATATCAACCATGGTGACCATGGAACGGAGAACACTAATTTTAAAGGTCAGCAACAAAGATGTAAATCCACAGACTCGTATTGATTGTCCATTGAAAAAGGCGTACGGGCGTTAATTTATCACAGTTGCTGACGTCTCATACCTTAATATAAAATTTACAGTTTCTAAGTCTTGTTATCAACATATAAAAAGAAAAATATATGAAATTCTAATAAAACCGTCACTGCTAGAATATGACGTGATAGTTGCCCTAATATTTGTAATTTCACATTTAATGGCAGAAAATAGGTCACTAATGTGGGTCCCAGGACCATTCTTGCCAACCCGTTAGGTAATTTAATTAATCTTTCTAAGAACCCTCTAGAACACTTTGATCAAACTGCGTCGTAGTCGGATTGTGCTATAATCAGCGCATTATAAAGTAGTTTAGAAATATCGCTTGCGAGATAAGGTTTGGCAGATCTTCGTTAAAATCTATTTTGATTTATTGGGCAGTATAATCATTGTTTTTTTGTACATTAGTCTCACATCTAATATAACCTCGAGATACTTACATTCTGTCACTCTTTTAATTTCTTTCATGGATGCAGCTTCTTTTGTCACATACCATGCTCGATTGATTATATTTTCTTTTATTTCTGTGCTACAATATCTTTTCTTGAAACATTATTGATGACCCATTCAAACATTCACGATTAGTTGCTACACTGAGCATGTACACGGTTCACAAAATAACATGATTATAAATTTAAAAAATAAATACTTTGATCTATATATATATTTTGCTTTTAATTGCATGTTATAGGTTCTGCGTGTAGAAGTATTATTAAGGTTAAGGTGTTCGGTGGTATACATGTATTTATTTCATTAGGTATAGGTCATACTACATTGTTATTGATTAACGCTGAATATATATGATTCTGAAATATCAAACGGAATGGCTTTATTTTTTTGAGTGATAGAAAAATATCAGGAAAAGTTTAAGCAAAATCAGATTAAAAATGTTTGAAGTTGTAATCAATGAAAAATGAAGTCTAAATTTGTGACGTATCTTTCTTGGTCCTCTCCCAGTACCACTGAACTGAAAAATCATAAATCACAAGTTTATTAGTTCTTGATGAAGGAATAGATTGGTTTCATACTAGAGTTTTGTAAAAAATAGATAAACCATAATGACATCTCGATTGCACGTATGCCTGATCTTGAATAAAAAGAAAACAATACGTTGTGATTTTTAGTACAGAACGAAAGGGAGATGACCTCGAAATGTCAATTTGTTGGCAGTTTTTGTTTGATTGATTTCAGTTTCTGGTAAAATGAAAAGGAAATGATTTTCATCATGACATGATTAATTCATTGGTGTCAAATAATGAAGGTGTTTTTGTTTTGGAGTCTTTCGTGTTAACTACGAGCCAGTTATATCAGAAAGTGTAAATTTATTTTAACATAAATCAATGAAGGTATACGAGCAGGAAGTTGAAAATGAGTTGTTTATTTTCCGGTCGTGTGGTTATTGTTTTGAAAAGGAATACCATGGATACGAGGTACTAGAGAGAATCGAAGAGAGTATAGGGGTAGAAATATAACGATATTTGGAAACATCGAACATCGAACAGAGAAAGAGAGAGAGAGAGAGAGAGAGAGAGAGAGAGATATATATATATAAGGGCTAGAGCAACGTCGATCTGGCGCTGCTCAGTGGCTGCCGGGCTCACGATCAATTGGGCAAAAAGAATTTCCGTTTCGGTTTAATAAAATTTAGAGTGGACTATTAGGCTATTATTATTATTATATAAATATACATATATATATATATATATATACGGAGACGGAGAGAAGGAGATGGAAATATGGTAATATGGGGACAGAGAGATAGTGAGAAAGAGATGGTGAGAGAAAGAGACAGAGAGAGACGGACAGAGAGAGACAGAGAGAGAAAGAGAGAGAGAGAGAGAGAGAGAGAGACAGACAGACAGAGAGAGAGAGAGCGAGGGAGAGAGGGAGAGAAGGAGATGGAAATATGGTAATATGGGGACAGAGAGATAGTGAGAGAAATAGACAGAGAGAGAGAGAGAGAGATAGAGAGAGAGAAAGCGAGGGAGAGAGGGAGAGAAGGAGATGATAATATGGTAATATGGGGAAAGAGAGATAGTGAGAAAGAGATAGAGATAGAGAGAATGAGAGAGAGAAAGTGGTGGGGTCTTGGGGGGGGGGGGGGTGAGAATTAGTCATGATTGTGTGACTTCCAAAATAGAAGACCGACTTTCATTTTAACTGCATGTATTTAAAGTAGTTCCTTTCCCTATTCTTAAAAAGGTCATGTGTAGACAATACCAATCACAATCGACATGATTAATATAAATACCCATGTATATCAAATGTTCATGAATCGTGTGTGGGCGAGCCTGAATACGATGATCAGGGTAATAATATACTTGTAATGCGCTTAGAGGCATCGTCGATGTATCAAGGGCTAATAAACCCAGATTTGTAATATTATCATCAATAATAAACGTAGTAGTTGTAGTCGTAGTAGAAGTAGTAGTAGTAGTAGTAGTAGTAGTAGTAGTAGTAGTAGTAGTAGTAGTAGTAGTAGTAGTAGTAGTAGTAGTAGTAGTAGAAGTAGTAGTAGTAGTAGTAGTGGTGGTGGTAGTAGTAGTAGTAGTAGTAGTAGTAGTAGTAGTAGTAGTAGTAGTAGTTTTATAATTAGGTGTCCGCAAATACCACCGTATGCTGGACTCGAACCACGCGTGAGAGCCAGACGTCACAACGCCTCCTAATCCATCATATGTGAATGCAGACAATGATTGAATACATCATACAAACTTGCGTTCGATTAGCAATATTTAATTTTTATTGATTGAGAAAACACGACTTGCCACCAACATACTGCAATAAACTCCAACATAATATATGCAATATCCGGGTGCAAAATGCTTAAAGCAAATAAGGAAAAGTGTTAAAACAAATAAACACATCAGATTTAGATTCTGCATCATATATGACAGTTTTTTAAAAGGGAAAACATTAATAACGGCGAAAGGATACCTGGAAACAAAAGGAAAACACTTTCTGTTTTTGTTAGAAAAAACAGTAATGTCCTCGGTTTGCAATATTGTGATAAATCATCATGTTGACAAATATTGATTAACAGAAACTATATACCATACATGAGTTGACGTACTGATCGGGGAAAATATTTCTTTCTTTTCCTTGTTCATGTCGTTTTAAAGATGAGGACACGGCTCATACAGGGAAAAAAAAACATGCGACACAAATACTACATTTGTTCCCTTCAATTTAGAATACAGCTATTTATAAATGCTGGTAATGGCGAAGGGGACATTACAAATGTTCTCCCTTATAGAGAATAGATAACGTTGGATTTCAGTACAATCTAGTTAGTTTTTATTCATCAGTCAATTTTGATAAATGATTAACATAAGAGCAGTTATAGGCCTAGATACTACCAGGGTATGCAGAATTGAAAGTTCTGTAGAAAATCTGAAATCTAGAAATAGAATATGCACGTATATTCTGAACTGCACCTCGTCAGTCAGAATTTCTTATGAAAGC